CGCCGCCCGACCCGACCCCCCCGGTAGGGTTCGCCCAAGCTCGGTCGAGCGCGCCCCACACTTTCATGTCCCGCCCGCCCGACCCGACCCGCCCGTTAGGGTCCGCCCGCCCGACCCGACCGGACCCGCCCGCTGGGGTCCGCCCACCCGACCCGACACGCCCGTTAGGGTCCGCCCTCCCGACCCGACCCGACCCGCCCGCTGGGGTCCGCCCACCCGACCCGACACGCCCGTCAGGGTCCGCCTGCCCGACCCGACCCGACCCGCCCGCTGGGGTCCGCCCACCCGACCCGACACGCCCGTTAGGGTGCGCCCGCCCGACCCGACCCGACCCGCCCGCTGGGGTCCGCCCACCCGACCCGACACGCCCGTTAGGGTCTGCCCGCCCGACCCGACCCGACCCGCCCGCTGGGGTCCGCCCACCCGACCCGACACGCCCGTCAGGGTTCGCTCAAGCTCGGCCGAGCGCGCCCCACAATTGAATGTCCCGCCCGCCCGACCCGACCAGCCCGTGAATTACGGTCCACCCGCCGGGCCCGACCCGACCGGCCCGCCAGGGTCCGCCCCGGCCCGACCCGACACGCCCGTTGGGGTTCTCCCACGCTCGGTCGAACGCGCCCCACACTGAAAATGTCCCGCCCGCCCGGCCCGACACGCTCTTAGGGTCCGCCCGACCGACCCGACCCGACCCCGACCCGCCCTTTAGGGCCCGCCCGCCCGACCCGACACGCCCATTAGGGTTCGAGCGTGCTCGGTCGAGCGCGCCCCACAGTTGAATGTCCCGCCCGCCCGACCCGACCAGCCCGTTACGGTCCGCCCGCCCGACACGACCCGCCCGCCCGGGTCCAGCCGCCCGACGCCCGACGACAACAACCTAAGACGACGCCGACGACGACAACGACGACGGCGGCGGCGGCGGCGGCGGCGGCGACGGCGACGACGGCGACGACGGCGTCGTCGAAACCAGCGCCGGCGAAACCAGCGCCGGCGAAACCAGCCGCCGGCGAAACCAGCGGGGCGAAACCAGCGGGGCGAAACCAGCGCTGGCGAAACCAGCGCCGGCGAAACCAGCCATCGGCGAAACCAGCCGTCGTCGAAACCAGCGCCGGCGAAACCAGCGCCAGCGAAACCAGCCGCCGGCGAAACCAGCGGGGCGAAACCAGCGGGGCGAAACCAGCGCTGGCGAAACCAGCGCCGGCGAAACCAGCCATCGGCGAAACCAGCCGTCGACGAAACCAGCGCCGGCGAAACCAGCGCCGGCGAAACCAGCCGCCGGCGAAACCAGCGGGGCGAAACCAGCGGGGCGAAACCAGCGCTGGCGAAACCAGCGCCGGCGAAACCAGCCATAGGCGAAACCAGCCGTCGTCGAAACCAGCGCCGGCGAAACCAGCGCCGGCGAAACCAGCCGCCGGCGAAACCAGCGGGGCGAAACCAGCGGGGCGAAACCAGCGCTGGCGAAACCAGCGCCGGCGAAACCAGCCATCGGCGAAACCAGCCGTCGTCGAAACCAGCGCCGGCGAAACCAGCGCCGGCGAAACCAGCCGCCGGCGAAACCAGCGGGGCGAAACCAGCGGGGCGAAACCAGCGCTGGCGAAACCAGCGCCGGCGAAACCAGCCATCGGCGAAACCAGCCGTCGTCGAAACCAGCGCCGGCGAAACCAGCGCCGGCGAAACCAGCCGCCGGCGAAACCAGCGGGGCGAAACCAGCGGGGCGAAACCAG